AGAGCTGAAATCTGTGGCAATAGAAAAATTCAACAACTCCTCTGTGGTTTTGGGATGGTGTGATACAAGTTGATACAAGTCATTTTGTTTACTGTCAGCAACATTTAGGTCAGTACAAATGTGCCAAATTAATTTAAAAGAAACTCCCTTAAATAAAGAATAGACCACTCATTTTTTTGTAAAGAAATACTAAGAAATTTCAGCTACATGTTTTAAAAAATGTCCTTATTATTTATTCCTTCTCTCACAAGATATAAATATGTATATATTTATTTTTGTAAGTCACATATTTTACGTGTCAGTAATAAGGCCCTGAATCCAGACGAAAAGCTCTATTTATTTGCCAAACACATGCAGTTCCGATGTGGAAAAACAACCTGTAACGTTAGCGTAGGCCTGTTAGTTTTGGAAAGGACATTGTGAAAGTACCAAAAAAAAAAAAATGTGTTGTTTTTGTGCGTTGTGTTATTGCTTACCACAGGCAGAAAAAAAATCGTATGCTTTCCAGTTAATATTAATGTTCCCTCAGAGAATGAGACCGGATGTCTATAATTATTACTCAGAACACTGTCACGTTTTTTAATGGAAAATATGCAGTGGCGCACTCGACTACTGCGTTTAAACGAGGACCAATCAGATTACAAGGCAAACTGTGGATGTGGGAGGCGCGACCAATCAGCTTTCAGAACCGTGCCCCGCCTCCTGCCTTACTGACCGACTTTCTCCAACCATGAGCGTTTAATCAACTGTCCAATAATGCAGCAACAGCGACACCGTGTGGTTAATAGCTCAATGTATTTTTCTTTATCTCGAATGCGTATGAAGGCATATCAAATTAAATGATAGGCCATATTTATAATTTAAATGATAGGCCATATTTACCTTTGTCCTGTAGGGTAATTTGCTTATCACTCAATACAAGAATAACATCAAATATTTTTAAACACAGTGACAAGTCTAGTAAGGAGACTGTCTTCATGCCGATTTTCGTCTCCATCCTACTAAATTGTCAGAAAGAAAGACAATACGATATAGACAGCTTTCGGTGTTGACAAAACTAACTATTTTTTAACAGACATGAATTAAATTTAGTTTTTGTGTTGTTGTTACTGCTACTTATCTAAAATGAACCAAATTATTTTAATGCAAGCTACACATCGCCAGATTATTTCCAAAGGTAAAATGCATTACCAGTATATGCATGATTTTCATTGTGTGCCTTAAAAGAAATTGTAGTCAGCATTTTGGAGGCTATTCAATCTGGTGAACATACGTCAGGGTAGTTTAGGGTAGCTAGGGGGCCTCCATGGAGCCACTAAAACTGCTGATGTGCATTCCTGTCTTAGACGGGTGGAGGATTTTGGAAATGTGGTCAGGAAATGGAACTACTCCATATGTTTTTCTCTCAGGCAAGCTGCTTTACAGAATATTATTCTTTAAAAAATGTCAAAAGCAAAGTATATTTTTTATTCCTTTCCTTTTTTATTCCTAATGACTTAAACTGAATAAACTCCTTTCTGAACCATAAGGCATATACAATCTCTCATAGAATTACAGGCTTCTATAGCAGCCTTCCTGATAGCATGGACTCAGCTGTAAATGAAATCACTTTAGGCAGGCCTGCATATGTGTCTTAAAATCAAAAATGTCATGCCAAAACATCAGTGGTTAATATAAAAATGATCCATAATACTTTTTGGTGATTTATCAATAATCCTTCTCATACATATTTTCTCTTTTTCTTTGTTGTCTCAGAAGATCATTGTGGTTGTGATCCAAACTCCCTCTCGATTGTGTTCATGAGGTCCTCTTCTGAAGCTTCATACATGATAGGCAAGGCCACAGATGAACCACTACCAATTCCAGAACTTCTAAATAACAAAAAGAGGATTTTTATGGTTAATAAAGGGGTTTTGCTATTCATTAGACATCTAAAATCAAATGATAAAAAAGTCTTGTAAAATACGTCAATAGTGCTTTTTCATTTTCAATAGAGATCTAAAGTCATCAAATTATACGTGTGTGTAAAATATACTTTACAATAAGCTTACATTTGTTAATATTAGTTAACATGAACTAACAATGAACTAAAACTTAATGTTAATTCTAAAATTTATGAATGCATTATTAAAATAAGAAGTTGTGTCTGTTAATGTTATTTAATAGAGCTAACATGAACTAACAGTGAATATTTGTGTTTTTATTAACTAATGTTAACAAAGATGCATTATGCATTAACCAACATTAGCTAATGGAACCTTTTCTAAAGTGTTACCACATCATCAATATTTATTGTTTATTTTATTTAACCTCTAAAAATAAAAAGAGAGAATTTCACAGTTAATGCAGGGATTTTCCCTTTTAGTAGACATCTAAATTCACCAAATGATCAAATATATTGTACAACATATACAAGTAAAATGCATAAATATTTATTTTTCTTTTTAATTAACTTTACAGACCAGTACTCTCTACCAAGCATGGCACTGGACACAAGCTAACTTCTTTCAGTGGAAATGATGTGTGTCACTAAGTTCAGATCAATAATTGATGGAATACACTTAGGAAGCTGTTGCTGTGCTCTCTATGTTGGCACAGTTTAGCAGGTCCTGTGGAGACCTGACCTGTTCAGAAAGCCAGGAAATACATAGGTATTCCTTACTTAATGGCTTTAATAGTTTCTATGAATAATATATTGCCATTGTCAAAAGAAGAAGCCATAGCATTTTAATGGGAAAACTTTAAAAACTTAAGGGGCAAATAGTAGTTCTACCTTTTCACGAATGGAAGTTGTTATGTTCACTGTGGTCATTTCATTGTTGTCACGTGTGCTGCCACTGTAAACGTTGTTGCAGTCTTGGCCTTTGGCGTAGTAGTAAAGCCCTAAAGACTTCGATCCAAACATTGGCATCTTATAAGAAGTCCTGTTCAGTGATATATCAGTGTTGGCACACTCAGCGAGATCGTCCTGTGCCTCACTGTCACAGTCTGCCTGGGCTCTCCTTCTGATTGACACACGCAGATCTGGAGCTTTGGTGTTTGAGGGACCAAACAACTGACTTTGATCCCGGTGAATGCAGCTGCTAGTACAGACGGTTTCCTCTGTCACTGACACAGCTGCGACTTTTTTCATTCTGCTTTTTGATATGCCCATCTTTCAGATGAAACATTTTCACGCCATCGTTGTGAAATATGCCAATTTCCACAACCCTACAAGCGCTAGAAGACTAGTTGAGTAGCTGATAATATAAAATAACGATAAAATAGACATTTCAGAAAACAATAACACGTAAAAACAACTTACATCCGTAAAGTCTTCTTTTTGTATTATTAGATTTAATATTGCATTTGTTGCAAACAGCGACGCAACGAAAAACTACAGTACATGGCTCTCATAATCAGCGAAAAGCAAGTAACGTTACGCGTCGCGTCCACCTCTGCCCTCTGTCATAATAATATGAGTGAACTGGATCTGAAGTTAGAACAGCTGCGTGACGATACATTGCAAGACACAACACACTAACACATTAAAAAAACCAATTAAAACAGTGATAAAAGCCTGTGCCTTTTATTGAATCAAATGTAAATCTATACATCAATTTTCAACATCATCATAAAACCTTATGTCTAAATAAAAAGTCACAATTTTCTGCTTATGTTTTAAAATGACACCCTTGAGTTACGTCTTCAGTGTTCAATGTGATGTGACACATGAATGAATATTATCAGAATCTAAAGTTGCAGTGATATTTGGCAAGTGTACACTATGTAACAATAGATGTGATGAATTAAGTTCTAGATCATTTCGGAACATTTTTGGACTTTATTCAGTATAAGAAGTTTGGAGAAAAAACAAAAAAAAAAACTTGGCAAAAAAGAACTACCACTTCCAAAAAAAAGTCAAATACACATTTAAACTTCTTATTTTATGCAAACTATCACAGTGAATTTGAGATTAACATTAATAATAAAAAAAATTATATTAGCTGAACAAATACATATACTATAATAATAATAATAAAAAAACAACACTATTCACTAGCCAATGGGAAGCACAATCAATGCAAAAATTAAATTAATGTCCAATGATACTATGATGCATATGGCTAAATCGCATTCTATTTTTTATATATTATTTAAAAAAAGTCAAATACACATTTAAACTTCTTATTTTATGCAAACTATCACAGTGAATTTGAGATTAACATTAATAATAAAAAAAATTATATTAGCTGAACAAATACCTTGCAAATAAATACATATACTATAATAATAATAATAAAAAAACAACACTATTCACTAGCCAATGGGAAGCACAATCAATGCAAAAATTAAATTAATGTCCAATGATACTATGATGCATATGGCTAAATCGCATTCTATTTTTTATATATTATTTAAAATGCTAACTAGTAGCTACAGTTTAAAAAGCACATTTTAGACACCATAAAGTCAACGACAGTTTATTCATTAACTACTGCACAGCAGTAGGTTATTTAAATTGCTATTAATTCAGCAGAGAAGACAAACTGTACAAACTGCTATTACTTAGAAGCATTGTCCCGGGCACTGTGAAAAGGGGGGCACTAAATGTTTTTCCCCCTGCCCTTTGAATTTAAGCAACAGATTACATCTTTTCTTTTCATCATTATTGATTAATCAGTCAAACTAATTTGGATTCCTGGTCGTGTTTCAGAAATTCCATGGTTACTGTGTAACAGAGCAGCAGTGTAAGCATCCTGGTGTTTGTTGTCATGGTAAGAACGTGGCGAGGCATTCTATTTCCTCAGTCATTGTATGGTACAGCGCTCATGGCTCTGCTCTTCACTGGCAGGGCTGCTGGGGGTCTGGGATTTTCTTTTGCCTTTGGATGGGGCAGCTGAACCGTGATCGATAATGTGCTGCAGTAGGTCTTTACTCTCGCTAGGTGGCAGGTTGTAGAAGAAGTCAACAGTTTATTCATTAACTACTGCACAGCAGTAGGTTATTTAAATTGCTATTAATTCAGCAGAGAAGACAAACTGTACAAACTGCTATTACTTAGAAGCATTGTCCCGGGCACTGTGAAAAGGGGGGCACTAAATGTTTTTCCCCCTGCCCTTTGAATTTAAGCAACAGATTACATCTTTTCTTTTCATCATTATTGATTAATCAGTCAAACTAATTTGGATTCCTGGTCGTGTTTCAGAAATTCCATGGTTACTGTGTAACAGAGCAGCAGTGTAAGCATCCTGGTGTTTGTTGTCATGGTAAGAACGTGGCGAGGCATTCTATTTCCTCAGTCATTGTATGGTACAGCGCTCATGGCTCTGCTCTTCACTGGCAGGGCTGATGGGGGTCTGGGATTTTCTTTTGCCTTTGGATGGGGCAGCTGAACCGTGATCGATAATGTGCTGCAGTAGGTCTTTACTCTCGGTAGGTGGCAGGTTGTAGAAGAAGTACTGCGGCGCCATCTGAATGAACCTGTCACAAGCAAACAGCAAAAGAAACCATATGAAAATATTTTATTTCACAAACATAAAATCAATTATATACTTTCAAACGATAATACATTTGTAATTCTAAAACAATGCATTTAAAACCTCTAGCAATGTGACACGATTTATAAAGGAGACACTTCTAAAGTTCTCTTGTCTCTCATGGAAATTCATAACTGTTATAAATTGTGGCGAAGAAGTGGCTATTTCATAATGAACCTGTCACAAGCAAACAGCAAAAGAAACCATATGAAAATATTTTATTTCACAAACATAAAATCAATTATATACTTATAATACATTTGTAATTCTAAAACAATGCATTTAAAACCTCTAGCAATGTGACACGATTTATAAAGGAGACACTTCTAAAGTTCTCTTGTCTCTCATGGAAATTCATAACTGTTATAAATTGTGGTGAAGAAGTGGCTATTTCATAGGAATTAGTATGATCTCATTCGTACGTTTTTGTTCAATCTGCTTACTCCCCACTGATGGCTAGGTTTAGGGGTGGACCTTCTTATTTTTATTCTAAAAATCGTATGCTTTCATACAAATCAAATTGTACAAATTCATATGAAATCGGCACCTCATAAAATAGTGGTTTTATCACAAGATACATTTGCTCTATCACAAGCAGATAAACTACTGCCAAGTACTGTAACTGTTCAGTCAGTATTAAAAAAAAAAATCGAATTTCGAATATTCGCTGAATTTAAAATAAAAATCCACATTCGAATGCAAAAACGTTGAATTCGAATTTTAAGTGTGCGTTAAAGAGGCAGCTTTATCAGTGGCGCACAAGATGCGATGACGATGTAAGTGTCGTTGCATTATAATGTTTTTATTAGCCTATGCAGTTGAAGCCACTAGATGCAGCGCTGCTGTGTTGTTCATTCAAAACATTGTGGAAAAAGAGAACATCAATGCGGAGAAGATCTTGTTTACATTAAAACTGAAACAAAGCTGTTCACACAGAACACATATTTCGCCCATCTATCACCGTTGCACTCGCATCTCGGACAAAGGAGCCACATGTTTAGGAGGCCATGTAAAATTAATGCAAGTTTAACTTTGAAAAAAAACATATATCGAGACTTTATGGCGGGGTTTTTTCCCCATCCCACTGCATCTCATGTTTTTAAATGAAAAATGTACTCTGTGTGATTGGCTTTCCGTCCTTTGTATTAAACTATGCATACATACATGATGCTGTTTTGTTTATAGTAGTTTAAGCAACTTAATTAATTATAATTGGTTTATAAACATTATTTTAAACATTATGCACTTTTTATGACAGATATGCTTTGAATAAACGTGCATAAGTAATATTTTGCTCGATGTGCCCGCTTGTGGCCTCAGAAGAGAAGCCAAAAGCTTTTCTTTACCCTGACTGAAATTATGCATTTTAAATTCTAATATAATTCGAATTTTGATAATATTTAAGTACAAAATTCGAATTTAGTTTTTCAGCCATTTTGACAGCCCTAGTCAGTATGGAGCTTTTGTCTTTGGGAATTATTCAAGTGGAATGAACAAAGCAGAATAATGAAGTCACTTTCTGAAACAAATACAGCTGAAGATGTTTTCATTGTGAGTATTAATTCTGTGGTTTAGTTCTAGACAAAGCAGATGATCCAGTACGTACTCATGTGCTGAGATCTGAGAGACGGTTCTGATACAGTTGTTCTCTGACAGTGTGTGCTCATGGTACAGAAGCCATTCTGGCAGGTTCTTCTTGTGCATCTCTGTTCCGTAGCCAGACAGCGGGTGGATCTGAGCCACATGTTTATGGGTCAGCATGAAGTAATTCCCTGACCCGTCAATGTCCCTCGCCACCTGGAAAACCCCACAGAGATTAAACAATGGAAAATGCATTAGAACAGCACACTGAACACACTAAATTTGTAACACCACTGTGACGTTTACTAATCTGCCTTCATCACAGACGTTACTGCGCCAGTGCAATTATTTGAGAGAGAATTAGTGCACCCATTTCCACGGTTGTGCATTAACACAGTGCACTTTGGAAAGAGATTTGTCCACTTTCTAGTTCAGTTTTAGAGAGACTCTGACCTTTGAACATTAGAGAGTTGCTCTAGTACAAATCACAACAATATATTACAATTTTCAAAAGGGTTTCATTTTGTATATGATATATCTATACCTGCATGAAGAAGCCAGCTAGTAGGGCATGTTTGATGTTCAGGCTGTTGCTTTTAGAGCCAAAGGCAGGTAAAGACACTGGCAGCTCTAGCCGTTTCAGGATTTCTGTTAGCTCGGAGCGTATTGCATCCGCTGTCTGAAGAGCAGACAGACGGAGGAAATGGTCTTCACACCATCGTTCCACATTCGAGTCTGAAATACACATGTGAATGAGAATTCAACACTTTATATATTACAATTGACAGATTTTGTTAGTCAGCTACTGTTTACTGTCTTGCTTAATTCACAGTAATGGCTGTTAATGGATATGCACGTGGATTATACACTTAGGTGGCTTCAATTAATTGCTTTAATGCACAAAAATCACTCACATGGCCCTTCCTTAGCATATTTGTAAGCATTAAAGATGTTAATAAGGGTGAAGTGGTCTCCCTCTGCGTGCTGGAACCTCTGATGACACAGTAAGGCCTTCTGTCTCAGTTCCACTGGGGGTGTAAGGAAACTGCTCGGAGCTGAATAAAAAAGAAAAAAAGCTTTATTATCAATCATACATGTATTTGTAAATATATTTTTAATAATGATAAAAATGTGGTGTTTTATTTTATTTTTAATATTTAAATTGAAGGTCCAACAACTGTGAGTTGACATGAGTTCCAAATATAACTGAATGGAGCACAGACATAATGGAAACGCAGACACATGGTGGTACAGCTGTTGAGTGGATTGTACTGAGACGGGATTACCTGTTAGCATGGCAGCGATGGTCAGCACTTCGCTCACACAGTCAAATTCGCAAGACGCAAGCAAAGTCTTAGCCATCTGTGGCTCCAGAGGAAACTCTGACATGATAATTCCAATCTCGGACAGATTTCCGTCATCATCCAAAGCAGCAAGATAGTCAAGTTCCTCTAAAGCTTGCATCAGGCCTTCTGGATCTATTGTAAGAGTGAACAAAATATTTCATATGTTTTTTATGAATATGAATAACAGTTTTCCAAGTTTGCTATTAATCTATTCTAGAAAAATTGTATCATTAAATATAATAATATATAAATATATATATATTGATTGGCTAATTAAAATAAACTGACCCAGTTTTGCTATTGTTAATTAAAACTAAAACCTACTGTATTAAAATGAATGTCAACTGCCTTGACAACTAACTGTAATAAAATAATTTTCAGTTGAAATACTATACTAAAACTGAAAAATAAAATAAAATAAAGATAAAACAGAAAAAAAACACTAATAAAGTTACGAAAGCACATACCAAACTAAAACTTAAACAAAAATTAAAATGAAACCTGAAAATATAAAAAATAAATGTTAATTCAAAATGTTAATAAATACTATAAAAGTATATAAATAATACTAAAACAATACTCAACTGACCTAAATAAATAAAGTTAATCAACGGCATTAAAAATTAATTGTGTGATAAAAAAAAAAAATAGCAGTCTAGTTAATTTCAATAAAATAAGAACAAAAAGAGTCGTTAAAGCTATAGGTGATTGTAAAAAAACACCAACTAGTATTATTATTGGAATTAATCAACAGAGTATCAATTGTGATCTGCAATGCATTTTTCCTATAGAGATGCCCGTTGGTCTGACAGTGCAGAAAGTAAATAGACAACAGACTCTCACTAATTTGCGGCATAACAAAAGTGCCTCACATATTTGCATCATGAGATAAACAAGTTCATCTAGTTCATCCCACCATGTTGTTTTCAGAGAAATGCTGTTGTCTCCACTAATGATGCTGCTCATCTGACTGGTGCGTGTTATGGAAGCAAGTTATCTCTGGAACAATGAAACCAGTCAGAGTGCTGTCGGCTCAGCTAACACACGGCTCACCACCTCTTAATACCAGCAGTGAGCGGGACAGGCCCATCTGCACCCTTACTGTGAGCCAAGAGAACCTGGCTGATCCCAGCTTTGCTTGGTTATTGTAAACAGTGGACAGTGAATAACCTGTTTGTGTTTAGAAGGACTGCTCAGATTCGTGTGAGAGATTCTATGAATAATTTAATGTGATTATCTTCATTATGTGAAAAAATATACATACAGTACATTCACTGTTTAGAATCAGTGTAGTTACATAGATTACCCAATATTTTATTAGTGGTGCAAAAAAATCACCTAAATTTACACTGAAGGCAGATCCCAAGCCATATATAGAGACTTACTTCTAAATGGATCCTCTTGATTTGGAAGTAACCACATAGCAGTGGGCAGCCATTTATGCTGCGGCGCCTGGGGAGCAGTTGGGGGTTCGGTGCCTTGCTCAAGGGTACCTTAGTCATGGTATTGAAGGTGGAAGAGAGCGCTGTACATTCACTCCCCCCACCTACAATCCCTGCCGGTACAAGACTCGAACCCACAACCTTTGGGTTATGAGTCCGACTCGCTAACCATTAGGCCACAACTTCCCCCTAGCAACTGTATGTGTGCCTTATAGTGCTGTGTTTTAAGAGATTTGATTGAAATTGAAAGAGAATTGATATATCGTATAAGAATTGTATCTTACCTGGTCTGTCAATGAAGTCGCAGTGGCTCAGGCCAGCAATTTCCATGCGCTTCAGGAAGAGCACAGTGGAAGTGATGTCAGACTCAAGAATATGAGGGACGCTCTCAGCAGGAAGTGATGTGTCCTCTTGATACAAACAGAAACACTTGCCTGCCGAAATAAAACATTTCAGGCATATGATTCAGTGCATGCCAACAATTTTAAGACACTTTTATATTTGTTTATGTTCATCCAGACTGCATTTATTTGGTCAAACATTCTGTAAAATTAATAATATTGTGAAATATTATTACAATTTAAAAGATCGGTTTTCTATTTTAATACATTATAAAATGTTATTTATTCCTGTGATGGGAAAGCTGAATTTTCAGCATCATTTCTCTATTCTTCACATGATCCTTCAGAAATCATTCCAATATGCTGATTTGCTGCTCAAGAAACATTTCTAATTATTATCAATGTTGAAAACAGTTGTGTTGCTTAATATTTTTGTGGAAAAAACATGATACATTTTTCTTTGAAAGTTCAAAAGAACAGCACTTATTTTAAGTAGAATTTTTTTGTAATATTATGAATGTCTTTGCTGTCACTTTAGATCAATTTAATGTCTTCACTGAATAAAATATTAATTTCTTTCAAGAAAAAAACAACTGAACCCAACCTTCGAATGTTAATGTGTAGAATTGTCAAAAAAAATGTATTTAGAAAGCACAAAGTGCTCACCTGTTGGGCCTGCAAGTTGTTTGCGGCTCTCAGCTTGGCTCTTGCTGATTGGTCGAATGACAATGGAATTGGCTCTGATTCTAGGATTGTACACCTGTCACAATACATCAATGTTTCATGTCCGCCAATCATAATCTATACAGCATATAACACAGAGCTCATAATAAGCACTAGTATCTATAAAGTTCAAAATAAAAACAAAATCACTACATACATATCTTTTTTGCACTCCAGCATCAATCACAAAGCGAATGCTGTGAACGGCCCAGAACAAATCTTCACTGGGGCTGCAGGTGAGGAAGACTCTCCTACTCTTGCTCTCCTCAGAGATCACCGAGGGACTGTCTCCTTGCTCAGGGCACAGAGATACAGGAACCAGCTCGCCATGAGACAATGCAAGATTGGCACCCTCTCTCCGCAAAATGGCATGGGCACATTCAATCTCCTTGGAAAAAAAAGAAGAGAAGTTTTTTATTACCATGGAAATGGGACCATCTTCTGTTCTATGCAAGATTCTCTGAAGGAAGGCAGGTTGGAATTTATGTGACATAAAACTAAGGATCCATTAAAATAATAATCTGCCTATTGCCTGGGCTAACAGAGGTTGAGATGATAATAAAAAAAAATTACCAAAAAAAACCCTAATAAAATTTTTGTTAAGACTGTAAAATTACAACTAAAACTGAGTTCTGAAAGCTGAGTCTGTTTACACCTAACAGGAAATTATCAATTTATAAATAATTATATATATATTTTTTTATAAATTAATAAATTCAGTGAATAATTATTCAATTTATAAATATAGAAATTAAATCGTTATACATTTTAAAGGATAAAATATACATATATACAAATACACACTATAAAAATTTTTAACAATTATATTATTGTATATATATATATAAAATTGCATGATAATTAATACATTTAAATGCAAATCAGTATCTATTTAATACATAAAATACAATATATATGTAAAGTACTTTATGTCTGTTTACCCACATGAAATTATATATTTAATTATAATAAAATACCAACTTATAAAAATTTTTTATTTAATGTATTAATAAATTAAATAATGTCAAAATTTACTTTGGAAATAGAAATATTAACAATATAATTAATTATAAAAATAAAAAACTGTATAATATATTATATTACATTATAAATGTATATTATATTATATTATATTATAAGGGAGAAAAAATTTTAAATCAAGAAGAGCATTGTTAACTCTTTTTGTATGTAATAATACGTCACTGTTCTTCCTTCAATAAAAATACTACTAATAAAAAATATATTATATTATATTATGTAAAGAATGTCATTTATTTGTTCATTAATAAAATGATTTGTAAATAATCAATATTTTAAAAATGTCAACAAAATATCATTGTTTAAATGTCTTACTTGCTCAGTTGCCAGAAATGTCACAATGTCTCCATGATTTTGATTCTGATGTATCTCCAGAGCCAGTCTAAGAGCAGAGCAGAGGTAATCCTTCACACCTCCTCTCCCACTACCGTACACCACCTCGCACGGCTGCGTCCCATCCAGCTGGATCTGAGGAACGCTTCCATAGTGACGTAGCAGTTTCCCAGCGGAGTGAGGGGCGGTGAGGATGACCAGCCTGAGCTCTGGCCGCGCGAGGAGCACGTCTTTGAGCAGCCCGAGGAGCAGGTCTGTGCTGACCGTGCGTTCCTGGGCCTGATCAATGACCACCACGCCACTCTGCTCCAAGAGGGGGTCCGACATCATTTCCCGGAGCAACACATCATCTGTGCAGTATCTGCAAAGCAACAGATGGCACTGCAGGTTTCTTCAAGAGTCAGCATCGATTTAATACAAACAAAAATAACGAGCTAAGCGAGATACAGACCCTTTGTGACATCAGTTGTCCCGCTCAGTGAGTGCACTAGTGATGTCCGATTCGTGAACGAATCATTCTTTTGAATCGGATCTTTTTAATGAACCGAGAACCGGTCGTTCCCAAATTGCACTGAATCCGGTCGCTCTCGAGTCATCAGCTGCTAGCTTTTGAAGTGGTAACATTTACCAAATGGTTAAAAAGCTAGTTTAATAGCAGAAATTTTAACAACTAAATTTTTATTGAATTGACAGCTTGATCAAGACATGAAACTGAGTTGATTTTAATAAATGATTAAAACATGCAAATGTTTTTTTAACCAAGGAATGTAAATTAATTTATAGAATTGTTTGTTGTAAATTCAAGCGTGTTTAGGTTCTACAGGTTCATGTTTAATCAGCTGATTCATAAATGCAACAAACTGAATGTGGACACATAAATTACAAAAAAAGAAAGAAAGAAAGAAGGGGGGGGGGGGGGGGGGGGGGTGG